ATTGCGATGTCTTTATTATATGGAGCGTTCATCAAATAACAGTGGGCTGCATAAACAAAGGCGGGAAGAGCAAATGACAGGAAATGAGAAAGAGGAAAAATGGAGAACAATTGAAGGCTCAGTTTTGAAACGAGGCTGGAAAAATAAAGTGCTGGCGATATTTAAGGACGAAAGAAAGGTTATCTTTATAAAGAACAACGTAAGTAAAAAAATAGAACTGTGCTTAAGTACGAATTAGAAATTAATAAGAAAGAAAGAAAGAAAGAACGAAAAAAAGAAAGAAAGAGAGAAAGAAAGAAAGAAATAAAAAAGAAAGAGAGAGAGAAAGAAAGAAAGGAAGAAAGAAAGAAAGAAGAGACTGAGATAGATACATAAAAAGAAAAGAAGAGACTAGAATAGAAAGAAAGAAAGAAGAATGAATGAAAGAAAAAAGAAAGAAAAGACGAAATTGAAATAGATAGATAGATAGATAGATAGATAGATAGATAGATAGATAGATAGAAAGAAAAGAAGAGACTGAGATACATTAAAAGAAAAGCAGAGACTAGGATAGAAAGAAAGAAAGAAACAAACAAACAATGAAACAAAGACAGAACAAGGACAGATTGGCATAGATTGAGCGATCGATCGATCGATCGATCGATAGATAGATACGGAAAGACCGAGAACAGATAGATAGATAGATAGATAGATAGATAGATAGATAGATAGATAGATAGAAACTAGGTGACAGTTGTATGTAAACATAGATTATGGTGATCGGAAATTATTTAGACATGTCAACGCTAGGAATTAAGCTTTAACCAACTTAAGCGGGAAAAAGGTGCTAACAACCTGTTTCCAGTATTAGTTAATCCTCAACTTTTCTATATAACAAAGAGGCGTTCCTTTGTGGAGTTCAATTGGGAAATCTTTCAAAGAGGAAATGTGGCTTTCTGATGAGCTTTCATTTGAAAGCCTCTCACAAGGTTCTATCTGCAGCAACCCTTTAACCAAGAATGTCACCTTTTTTATTTAATTTTTTTTTTGTATCGCATTGTTACAGGTGGCGAAAAATGAGTTTTGCATGTCAGTAGGAAAAAAAAAGAAATATAGTAGTTATCAATAAAATGAAAGCCAATCCTAGCATATATACTGTTGTGGATTCCGGGATGAAATCCGGTACCAATAAATAACAAACGCCAAGAATGAATACAGGAAAATAATGTATTAACGTAATAATACAAACTGGTAAAGCAGGTTAGTAGTTCCAGGAATACGGGTTAGTAGCAAAATATCTATACAGTCTTTGGTATTGAAGTATCGCCGTATGCCTTCTTACTGAGGCTACGTGCTCGCTCACGGTGAGTCTTGCTCGCTACATTCGTTCTGTTTGTCTGTTACCTTACTCTCACTCTTCCGGTTACCTACAACATTTCACTCCTCCTCTATAGCTATCGGGTCTTCACGTAGCAGTAGTATATGTATATGCTGGGTGAGTCCATTTGTGTAAAAAGGGGAGAATCCCTCAACATATACCAATTCTCCTTTGACGGATATCTTTGGTTTATCTCTGGGGAAATATGAAATGTGTCTTTCAACACGAACTTCTGGAACATGGAAGGACTAACCGTACATGCGTTTATTACCAGAAATTTGATTGGATAAAGAAGTTCCTTCGAAAGTGCTATTCTTTGCTACACAGAAAAGTTGCTAAATTTCAACTAAGACAATGCTTACTCTGCAAAAGAAACCTAAGAAAAAATAAGATCGTTAGGCTGTGTTATTGTTCCACATTCTCCTTACGCACTTTAGTTTTCTCCTTCAAATGTACATTTGTCTTGATCACTGTAACATGTCATGAATTCAGAAGAATAGAAGTTGAAGGCATCTTTCGATCTGTTTCAGGGAAAAGATGTTTTTCTAAATTGAAATCGAAAATTACCATTCCTATTCAACTGCAGCCATCCAAATTGAATGCTCTTATATCCTTGATAAATTATTTTTAAATAAATTTAACTTACATATATATGTTCTTTCATTTACATTTTATATCCTTTAATAACACACTGAACGTTGTAAAATAAAGTTATGTAGGTTAATTTATCAGCATATAAACACTTGTTGAGTTATTTAATATCTAATTTACGTATTATAGTATGAAATCACTTTGAATTACTAGATATATGACTGTTTTACAGTCGAATAAAAAGTAATGTTATGCATTGGTTCGGCATTATACTAGAGTAAAAAATGTAAACATTAGCCTGACTTACACTAGAGTACACAAATTAAATATGGGTTTAGTTTTATACTAGATTCAGAAATGTAGACAAGTTTTGGTTACATTAGAGTACAAAATCTAGATATAGGGTCAGTTTTACACTACTCGGAAATGTAAATTGGTTCGATTTCAGCTAAAGTACAAAATGTACATATACACGTTATTTACAGTAAAGTAAAAAAGAACGTAAATGTCACAAGAAAAAACAAAATAGTAAATCTGTGTCAAGTTTAGACTAGAGTCAAGACATTAACCATAGTGTGAGTCATAAACGTTGATATTTTTCGAGTTTATACCCGAGCTTACAAGTATAAACCCGCGAGAGGAATCAATTTGACCTTTTACCTTCAACGTCTTATGTACGTAATAGTTATAAGAATTTAGAAATATTAAAATTATTTTATCTTCATTCGACAAATTAATTCGGCATAATCTTTCTTCGTATACGCAACCGATCCCTGTAGTTTGTTTACATTTATTTTGCGTGCAATTATTATTTTCCTTTAAAATCACCATTCTTTATAATACCTTCACATAAAGTCACTCTTAAAAGATATTAGGGAGCCCTAACTATGTAATATTTCTAATACGTCATAGTTCGCGTGCTAGAAAAAATATGAGTAACATACCTTGCTTAATTACGGTTTAAGTAGAATACATCAATTGCAATTTCGATGAAAATCACTTTGAACGATACTTAAATTTAACTTTTTATGAGTTATTTATTTAATTTTCAATCGAGTGTAACTACAATAGTTACAACCTGTTCCTCCAGGTTATTTATGATACGCCAAGATCGAAAAACCGACAGACGGACGGACACACGTGCACTGTGCTTTATTTATATAGCTGTATTATTATACATTCATAGGGATTTGTTTTTGTTTAGCGGTGGCGTTATCTACTTGCAAATAACTGGGACCCTAACAGGTGCTACCACCCCGAGTTAGAGTGGACCTGGGAAGAACAGCAGTTAAGAGTTGGTGTGGAATTTTGTTTGTACTCTTATAAGGGAAGAGTGTATAGAGA